CCCTGTGCAGGGTCACTATGAGTCGGAACCAACAACAACAATGGCTAGTGGTCGTGAACACTTCTTCATATGTTTGTTGGCTGCTTGGATCTCCTCCTTGGTGAAGTGCTATTTTTTATAAATTATATATAGTGTGATTTTTGGATCAGAGGACCTGAGACAGATGAAGAACACCTCTACATCATCTCTCTAGAAGAAGACATTGAATCCTTCCATTCGGTGTTATAGCAAGGGTTTAAATCTACAAATGTTTGAATCTAGAATCTGTGCTCTTTTTGCTACAACACAGTCCTCTAAAGGATACGGAAAGTTCAAATGGTGATTAGACATGTATCTTAGTTACCCAGTGTTACTATATATAACAAAGAACCTCAAAAGTGGGTGACTTTAACAAACAAAATTTTAATTTTTTCATAGTTTATGACACTCGAGGTCAAAATGCAGAGCATGACTATAGATTCTAGAAGCGGATTACCCAATAAGCAAGGTGGTGAAACTCATGTGAAATTGTTCATTAAGATTAGTAAGTAAACATTAGTAAGCCCATGCTTACCTTACTTTTTGGATAATCTGCCCTGCTCTAGAAGTAGGTACTTATTTGTCTATTATGATTGCCAGTAATTCTTGGTGTTCCTGGACTTGTAGATTCATCTGCCTCATCTTCACCTATCTTTGGTCCTTGGGTGAATTTCTCTGTGTGTATTAATTACAGTGAAACCTGGAAAAGCAGGAACTTGACTGGACCATCTTGTTTTTCCAGATCTAGAAAGTTTCCCACCACTTTTCTATTGCTATGTTTAGTAGAAAATACGAGTTTTTTTCTTTTCTGACAGTTTTCTTCCTTACTTGGGATTCTGGATTTCAAAGGTTTTACTGTTCACTTTTTATAAGATACCACTGGTAATGTGGTGGCTATGAGTCAAGCTGCTAATCTCAAGATTAGCAGTTCGAAACTGCCAGCTGTTTAGGGGGAGAAAGATGAGTCTTTCTGCTCCCGTAAAGATTTACAGCCTTGGAACTCCACTGTACACCACCATCTGTTAGTTTTAGGGCAGTTAATTAGCACGGTTATGAATCAGACTGCGAGTCACAAGGTCAGCAGTTCGAAAATACCAGAGGTTCCACGGGAGAAAGATGAGGCGTTCTGCTCCCGTAAAGATTTACAGCCTCGGAAACCCTGTGTAGGGTCGCTATGAGTCGGAACCGACTCCACGGCACATAACAACAACAACAATAACAATTAGCTTAACAAACGAAAACCCTTATTTCCAAACAGGGGTTAGGACTTATTTTCTGAGAGACAATATTCAGTCCATAACAATGGTAAGTAGTCTTTTGTTTATTTACATCTATGAACCATTTTTAATCTTTTGTCTCCTAGATATCTTGGAGAAAATGTGACATTTTAACACAGCTTTTAGGAGTCCTAGTGTGGCACTGTGGGGTAATGTACTGGACTGCAAGGTCGATTTGAACTTGAAGGTCAGTGGTCCAATCTCACCAGCTGCTCCTCAGAAACCCTATACAGGGTCGTGATGGGTCAGAACCGACTCAACGGCACTTAACAGCAACAACAACAGTACAGCTTTTAGTTTGGGGAACATTCCCCAAGGTCCATATCAAGCATTGTCTTAATTGATCCTCACCTGGAGAGTATGCTAGGCAGGTACTTTTGTTTCCATTTTTACAATGTATAAACCGAATCTTACATAGCTGCCATGAAGCAGTCTGGGTACTCTTCTATGACAATTTTGTGAACTCATCCTATGACAATTTTATGAACTTAATTATCACTAAAAACTGCACCTCAGGAAAACATTTTTGTGTATTTGCCTACATTTCACTAGGGTGATATTTTTCTGAGACAAATATATACTATAGTCACAATACACACTTATTTTGAACAATAAAATCTTGTTTGTGGTGGCTGTGTGCCGTGGAGTTGGTTCTGACTCTTAACGACCCTGTACAGGGTTTCCGAGGCTATAAATCTTTACAGGAGCAGAAAGTCTCATCTTTCTCCCAGAACAGCTGGCAGTTATAAATTGCTGACCTTGCAGTTCACAGCCTGATTCGAAACCACTATACTACCAGATTTGCATAAATAGGTAATTATACTAAGTGTTTTTGTATTTTTCCCCCTTCTTTTGAAATAACTGAAAACAGCTCCCCCTTGCTACTCTTCAAAGTATATATTTACCAAAGTTAAAACTCAGGGATATTGTTGTCAGTTTCAACTCTGTAGGATTTCTGAGGAGGGGCTGGTGGGTTATGAACACAGGGTCGCTATGAGTCTGAACCGACTCCATCGCACATAACAACAACAACCTTGCAGTCTAGCTTGCGGTTAGCATTCTAATGTTTATCTTACAGTGCCACACCTGGGCTCTCACAATGGATGGAGTGAGCCAGTATTTCAATCCTGTCTCTGGCCACTGGAGACTGAGCTCCAGCAGACCTGAATAACTAAATAACTATTGTTGTTACGTGTCTTTAAGTCGGCTCCGACTCTTAGTGAGTCTGTCTCTTACTGAGTCTGTATAGGGTTTCTGAGGTGTGGTTGGTGAGATGGAACCGCCAACCTTTCGTTTCAAGTCGACCTTGGGGTCAAGTGCTTATCCTACAGCGCCAAGCCAGGACTCCAATAATAGGTAGGTGGGTTTCTCCCTCTTCCTTTCCAGTGCTTCTCTCCCCCCTTTTCCCCCAGATTTCCTAGTTCTCACCCCCAAGTCCTCAAAAAACGCTCCCTAGGTAATCGCTATCCACAGCTGATTTTTGTCTATGTCCTGGAGATTCAGTAATAAACAGTCTCCATGGACTACCGCAGCTCAATCCTCACATCTCCGCAGTGGGAACCAACAGGTCAGAATCCTAGGAATCTAATTTAGAGAAAATTCCAAACCTCGGACCCCACCCCCACAGGGGAAATTGTAAAATCAGGAGAGCTTCCTTTTCCGGTGGTAGATACTTGCACGGCAGCCAGCAGTCAAGGGAGTCTGCAGTAAGGCAAGTGAGTGCATCATTCCCGTCCTCAAACGTGCAGGAAACAAACCCCCGCCTAAATAGTTAAGATTACCTGTACAGTTCTCTCCGTAAAGGAGCCCTTGTGGCTAGTGGGTTACAGCGTGAGGCTAATAGCAAGGTCAGCAGTTCAAGTCTACCAGACGCTGGAAGAAGTGGAAAAAATTAGGTTTCTGCTCCCATAAAGCCTCAGAAAGCCTATATTGTTGGGTACCATGGAGGGCCGACTCATAGCGACCCTGTGTAGGGTATCTGAGAGGCGGCTGGACCTTTCGGTTCAAACCGACCTTGCTTAACCTACAGTGTCATACTAGAAACCATGTTGTTGTAATGGTTGGCTGTGTGCGGTCAGTACGTTAGATAAATAGAAACTCTATACAGGGTTGCTATTAGTCCTGGTGTGGCGCTGTGGGTTCATGCACCAGACTGTAAAGCCGTTTGAACTGCAAGGTTGGTGGTTCAAGCTTACCAGCTGCTCCTCGGAAACACTATACAGGGTTGTTATGAGTCGGAATCAACTCAATGGCACTTAACAACAACAACAAATTAGTCTAACCAATTGACCACACTTTGCCAACCATTGTTTTAGTAAAACCCTGGTGGCAACATAATTAATGGCTGGGCTTCTAATCAGTCATTCTATAACAGAAATAGATGCAGTCTGCTTCTGTAAAGATTAGTCTTGGAAATCCTATGGTGAAGTTCCACTCTGTCCTATATTGTTGTCTTCCTTGTTAAGTGCCGTGGAGTCGATTCCGACTTATAGTGACCTTGTATAGGGTTTCCAAGGGGCGGCTAATGGGTTTGAACAGCCGGCATTGCGGCTCAAACTGACCTTGCAGTTCAGAGCATTATCCTGCGCACTCCACTCTGCCCTATTGGTACGCTAAAACAAAACAAAAACAAATAAATTAATAGATAAATAACGGCTTGCAATCCAATGTATAGTGTCCTTAAAGGACAGAGTTGTAGAAATGCCCCAAAAGGAAGGCTGTAAATCTTTATGGAATTCGACATCCATTTTCTCTTCCTCTTGAGCATGGTGGTGAATTCGAACCTCCAACCGTTAGGTTAGTAGCCCAGCTCTTTAATAACTGCACCACCAGGCTCAAAATTGACTCCAGGGCAACAGATTTGGGGTGTTGAGAAAAGAGTGACTTAAAGCCATCCGTTATTATACTGAAGAGTGTGACAGGAGGCTGGAAAGCAAGACTGTGGAATTAACGGAGTAAATTGGCCCTGGAAATAAAATGAGCCAAAGTGGCTGCCGCGGATGAGCCCGCTGCCAGGAAACCTCAGCTAGGGAAGGTGAAGTGGCCTGCCCAGTTACCTGAGGACGCGCGGATCCGCAGACCCAGGATTTCAAGGTACGGTATTACCGCATGTGTTGAAGTCAAGCCCGGGCTGAAAGTGGTAGTGAGAAAGTGGGGTGAGCCCAGAATAGGTGCGACACAGTTCTCCAAGTTTCTGGAAGAGAAAGCGGGAACGCGCTGCTGTTCAGTCTGTTAGGCCGAGAAATCTGCGACTCTCCCAGCTCCACCCCACGCAGTTGTGAAGTAAAGAGGACAAACTGCCAACAAAGGGAGGAGAAAAACAAACAAACAAAAAAATCCTAAAGGGGTGGAGGATGGCGGAGTCCGTACTAGCAGTCTCCAACCACTGGGGAGAGAGCAAGCGTGTTCTGGGGAAATAAACCCCGCCTAAATAATTGAGTTCAGAGTCCAGTGTTTTCAGAAGCTCGGAACATACTTTCCTGGCTTTGCCAGAATTGAAAAAAGAAGAGAGGTAGAGCTGCCGTCTCCTAGGATCAAAAGCTTCTGGGTAGGCGGTGAGGGTCGACCTCGGAGACACCCGCAGGAGCGGAGTCAGAGATCTGCAAGCGGCCAACGCAGAGACGAGAGTGCGCTAGCGGCTGGGACAGCGCTTGGGAGGCGGAAAAGGAGCGACCGCGGACCAGGACCTCCTTGGAGGGTCGAGGAGGCGTTGCATGGACAGCATGCGTTTCTGGGGAGTTTCCAGCGAGGGGTCTGTGAGCAACTCTAGCTCGTGGTGGCCGCTGATCACCGGCGGCACCAACATGAGCAGGGAGGCCGCAGCGCTCCAGGAGGGTGGCGGTCAAGAAGGGGACGTGCGGAACGAGGAGTTGGCCAAGCTGGAGATAGCGGTGCTGGCGGTGACATTCGTGGTGGCGGTGCTGGGCAACAGCAGCGTGCTGCTGGCGCTGCACCGCACGCCGCGCAAAACGTCCCGCATGCACCTCTTCATCCGCCACCTAAGCCTGGCGGACCTGGCCGTCGCCTTCTTCCAAGTGCTGCCACAGCTGTGCTGGGACATAACCTACCGCTTCCGCGGTCCCGACGGGCTGTGCCGCGTGGTGAAGCACCTACAGGTGTTAGGCATGTTCGCGTCCGTTTACATGTTAGTGGTCATGACCGCTGACCGCTATATCGCCGTGTGCCACCCGCTTAAGACGCTGCAGCAGCCGGCTCGCCGCTCGCGCCTCATGATAGCGGCCGCCTGGGTACTGAGTTTCGTGCTGAGCACACCACAGTACTTTGTCTTCTCCATGATCGAGGTGAACAATGTTACCAAGGCCTATGATTGCTGGGCTACCTTTATCCAGCCTTGGGGGCCCCGCGCCTATGTGACCTGGATGACGGGCAGCATCTTCATAGCGCCGGTGATCATCCTGGGCACCTGCTACGGCTTCATCTGCTACCACATTTGGCGCAACGTCCGCGGAAAGACTGCGACGCTAAAGGACAAGGGTGCGGAGCCTTCGGGCAGCGCCTTCCACAAGGGGCTCCTACTTGCGCCCTGTGTTAGCAGCGTGAAGACCATTTCCCGCGCCAAGATTCGCACCGTGAAGATGACTTTCGTGATTGTAACCGCTTACATCGTCTGCTGGGCGCCCTTCTTCATCATCCAGATGTGGTCTGTCTGGGATGAGAAGTCTGCATGGGTCGGTAGGTACAGGGACAGTGACGGAAAGTGCAGGGGTGGGATGTTTGTGTGTGTGTGTGTGTGTGTTTGAGGACAGTATTTCTTTTTATAGTATCTAGGGCAGTAGTTCTTTTTGCTAACGTTCCATTTTCTCATTATTCTCTCTTTATTTTTTCTCAATAATCACTTGAATCCCTTTTTCAGTTATTTCAAAGCAGAATTATTGATAAACTCTAAATTTGTTAGACTGGAGTTTTGGTGTGGATAAGCATTGGACTGCTAACCAGAAGGTCAGCAGTTCGAACCCACCAGCCGCTGCTTGGAAACCCTATGCAGAATCACTATGGGTTGAATCTGCAGATGTCACTTAACAACAACAAACTTGTTAGATTACTTTCATCAGTAACGTGACCGCACAGCTATCCACCTCTCCACACGACTTTTTTTCAGGAGTTTACTGTGAATGTCTATACACCTACTATATTAGTCGATTTTAATTTCTTCACCAGCTCAAAAAACTGTTTGACTGAGATTTTTTTTTTTTAAAAAAGTATGTCTTAATACTGTATCTTGAAAAAAAAAATTCCTTTTAATAAGGAAGAAAACCAAACACTTTTTCCAAATCAAATCCATTGCAGGAATAGTAAAAATAACAACTGTAGCTTGGAAATAGGTGTCTGAAAGAGGTTGTCTCCTTTTGCTATTTGGGATTGTTGTAGGACAATATACGTGATGCGTGACGCTGTAGGACCACAAGGTTGGTTTGAATTGCAAGGTCAGTGGTTCAAATTCACCTGCACTCCTCAGATAGCTATGAGTTGGAACCGACTTAGTGGCACTTAACAACAACAACAACTTTGAAAGTTGTATTTTCATTTGAGTGTGAGTTTCATAATTTGAACAGATAAAAATTCTTGGATGGCTATAATATTTGCTACCAATTTTGAAAAATGTAAACACTTTTGCTTTACTTTTGGTTAACCATTTCCTGTTTTGCTAGATTTTAGCAGCCTCTCGATATTGTTATTTTAAAAAAATCTAGTTTTAAGTTATAGGTTTATCAAGATTTAGATAAGACTGCTAAAAACATCTACATTTGTGCAACAGTTCATGAATGATTTTCTTTCTTTTTAATATAGACAGTCATGTATCATGGCTACTCTCAGTCTTAGCAGAGTGTGATTAAATGTTCTATGATTTATGGTGGCATAACAGGACTGAGAAGAACCAAGGTTATATTAATACTTTAACTGAAATAAATAAGACAAAGATAAATTCTGTTAAGTTCAAGCCAAATTTTTTGTTAGTCATAGAAAAACCACTAGATTTTGTATCCGTCAAGTACCTCTTTCAACTATTCCCTTTTGTACTGCTTTGATATTATAGGAATAGGGTTATAAGACTACGTGGGGTTTTTTTGTTTTTGTTTTTGTTTTTAGTTTTTAACTACTACACATCATCCACATGCCATACTTCAGTCTGTGCTATTTGGATGAATACAATTTGGTTTATGTGGTTACCGACTGTTGAAAGTCTGTTGAAATTGTAGATATTTCTTAAATACTGCATCCAAGAAATTCGTGCAGGACACAGGATTTTTTTTTTCAAGAGCTACTTAATATTCTTAATCTGAGTACAAGATAACCTTCATGTGATTCGCATGCAGTCTATTTCAATATTTTAATAATGGTCTTAAATGTTTAGATTAATTTTAAGACATCTTGCTTAGGATAATGTTTTATAACCATACCAATTTATATACACCACCAATTTTCCTAATCTATAAACAAAATGATTCATCTTCCATTCTAACTCCAAACTTTTCTGCTTTTCTGTTAGTCAGTAGAAAACTGAGTTTACCCAGTGCTCAGTTATTTGATTTGCATTATTTAAATAATACTCTCTGTGTCTTTTGTACAGAATTAGAAAACCCTGCCATCACCATCACTGCATTACTGGCTTCCTTGAATAGTTGCTGCAATCCCTGGATATATATGTTTTTTAGTGGACATCTCCTGCAAGACTGTGTCCAAAGCTTCCCATGCTGCCGAAACATAAAGCAAGAATTCAACAAAGAAGATTCTGACAGCATGAGTAGGAGACAGACTTCTTACACTAATAACCGAAGTCCAACAAATAGTACGGGTACCTGGAAGGACTCTCCTAAATCTTCCAAGTCCATCAAATTCATTCCTGTTTCAACCTGAGCTCTAATTTATATAGACTCTTGAAACTCTTTAGCTGAATACAACTAGAAATCATGAGAACAAATGAACATAGAATAAGTATAAATCCTTTCATTGGATACAAGACTATGGTTCTGGTTGCATTTTCACATTGCTATGACCAAGAACTCTTGAGTTATTTTATATGAACTGTTAATAAAACCACAATACACTAAAATGTACAAGCCGAATTCCCTGAAATATAACAAAAGTTGTATTTCTAGAAGAGAGATAACAACCACCCTGGCTGTATATGCTTGCTATTTCCTTACATTTTTTCTCCTTCTTATAAAGCTTCTGGCATAACTAAGGCTTGATTGATTTAAATACCATTTGATGCTGGGACACTATTTCTGAACAAAGGGAGAGCCCATCATTAGCCTTAGTGTTTGAAAGGATTTAGGAGTGACTTCAGAGAAATTATGTTTTCTTCCAATAAAATCCATTCATGCACCAGAAAATGAAGGCACCAATGGTAGCTTGGAGATGGGCTAAGTGCTTGGGGCATGCTAAGAAGGAGGTGGCATGAAAAGGAGAAATTTCGGTTAAAAGCTGTAAATCATGCTAAATTTAAAATAATGAATTTTGTACTGGTTGTGTCCTCCGTGGTTACTCATCTTTTATTGGCTATGAAAAGCATTATTACTAATGTCTAAAGATTACAGAAAATGTTGTCAATTATCCAATAATATTTTTTTTTTCCTCCTATGGCAAGGTTGTTTTAAAGTCAGTTTTCTGAGGAATACCTAATTTTATAAAAACAGTAGACAAGGATTACCCATAGATGTTTGTTGTTGTTGCAAAGTGCCGTCAAGTGGATTCCGACCCATAGTGACCCTGTATGAGGTTTCCGAGAAGCAAATGGTGAGCTTGAACCACTGACCCTGCAGTTGTTTAGACTCTCTCAATGTTGTAAATATATGCTGACGAGTGTTTGGGTGAGGTATAATGTTTGGGGAATCCCGATTCATAGATAAGAGAGTTAGCATATTAAATTCTACCCCACATATCAAAATGATTTGACTTTTTTGTCTGATCTCTCACTCTACTGGCTGTTTCAGAATTGAAGAGAGGTAGGCTGGTGGAATGGAAAGAGAAGTGCTCTGTGCCTAGCAGGCCTTCATTATTAAATGTATTGCTTTGGGCAAGGTTCTTAAGAACACTTGAAGTCTCCTTTTCCTTGCTTGTTCAGTGGACTCAATTACTTACCTCACGGAGTTGCTGTGAGAACTAAATGAAATTAAGTGTGTGGAAAGCTTCATAAACCATAAAGAGCCATAAAATGCTAGCAGTTGCTTTTATGATAATCTTCAGAATTGCACAACTTTTGCCTGTTTTGTTTTCATTAGCCAGAATTGGTTCGTTTCATGTCTTGGATATCAAATCCTAAAATTTAAATATAGCTCTGCTTATTCACTGGAAAACATGACCTGCGGCCACTAAGTCTGACTCTCCTCTCTGGCAAAATTTTCTCATTTAAAGATAGACCTTGGTTTCTGTAGGAGACCTGGTGGCACAGTGATTAAGAACTCAGCAACTAGCCAAAACGTCAGTAGTTTGAACCCTATTACAACCTGCTTCTTTAAAGACTCTTATTGCTAAGTGCCTTCCTACCTGTCTTATATAGAGAGTTGCTTTGAGTTGGAATTACCTCCATAGCAGCAGGTTTGGTTTGTTAGCAGGTTCCTTAGAAAGCTGGTAAATCAAAGGCTGTCAAGATCATCCGTTTGTTCATTTCTAAACAGATCATTTATAAGACTGCCATGTTGCTGATGGAGTCCTGGTGTGGTGCCGTAAAATAAGCACTGGACTATTAACCACAGGGTTGATAGTTCAAACCCATTAGCCACTTTTTGGAACCCCTACACAGGGTTTCTATGAGTCAGAACTGACTTGACAGTACTTAACAACAACAGATGCTGTTGATAGTGCATTTTTCATTAATGGAACTCAGTCTTTTGTTTTCTCCTAGCTATTTTATCTGGCTTCTACTCCTTCTTAGAGACCATGCAATGGTTTCAGGATACATCATAAATATTTTACATCCCTTACAAGGAGTAACTTGTTTTTTATATTATTATTGCACATGCCTGGGCACTAGATGTAAGGAAAGTTTGTTGTTGTTTCTTTCCCCCCACCCTCTGTGGAGATAAGCGAACGAGGACTAGATGGCACTGAGAGAACCTGGAACCATCAGCTTCACTCCTCTTCATTCTTCTGTCTTTCCAAATATTCAGCTCTTTGACTTCCTGGATTGATGTGTCCTTCAAAATGCTTGCAAATGCTTTACAAAGATTAGGTCTTCAGGTTTTAGAATTCAGCTTTCTAAAAATAACAAATATGTCTCTTAAAGGGCACTGTCCTACGTGAACCATCAACTAAATTAACCAATTCTTCATTATTTGAGTCACAGGAACGTCTTGGTAACCCTGCAAAGGCCGATCCTTATGACACGCTCTTTTGTGATATTCCATCTGAAATGAGGATAGATATGGGCCTGCTCTTTTTTCTGAATCCAGTCCTAAAACAACAACTTTATAACTTTTGTATAGATTCTGTTTGTAAAATGTTGACGTGTATCCAAGTAAAATGACACAATCTGAAACTTATTTCTGGGAATTTCTTGACAAATAAGGTACATATCTGCCTTGTTGTTGTTGTTGTTAAGTGCCTACACAGCTCTAATTTCTGCTTTGGGTTAGAGAGGCGCAAGACGGTCTACACAGGGATAGCTCTGCTTCTTGTTGTTGTTAAGTGCCGTCAAGTCAGTTCCGACCTAAACCCTGTGTAAGGTTTCCAAGGAGTAGCTGGTGAACTTAAACCACTGACCTTGTAGTTCAAACCAATCTTGCAGTCAGTGCATTATCCCATAGTGCCACACCAGGACTTCAATTATATAAACTTCTTATTCCTTATGATTTAGGATGAGAAGCTTAATGCAACAAGTTGTTAAACTTTCTTAATATTATGCACCCAGAAATGACATTCATATATCTCAAAACAATATTGCAAATGGGAAGAGTCCCGCTTTTTTAAGAAAGATGAAAACTGTAGGTAATACAGAGGAAGAAAATGCTGAAAGTAATGTTTCCTTTTCCTGGCCAAAAACAAGACTTGAGATACTAGTATGATATATCAAACAAAAGCTTACAGTCCAATCACTAACAACCATGTAGCATCACTGGATTTATTTTGCTGAAATAGTTACAGGAAGATCCTACAAGCACACAATAATGCATTTTTGCAAGTAGAAAGAATATGAATGATAAGCAATCCATTAATAAGGAGAAATAGGTCCTATTGCTTGTTGGGCACTTCATTCATTTTAATTGATGAAGAAAACATTTTTTATGTACGTAACAAGTGTGGTGGCTATGGATAAGAAGTGGACTGTGAACCACAAGGTCAGTGGTTCAAGCCCACCAGTCACTCTGCAAGAAAAAGATAAGACTTTTTGCTCCTGCAAAGATTTAGTCTCGGAAACCCTATATAGGGTCACTGTCAAACTGCACAAGGAGCTCTGGTAGCATAGTGGTTATGAGTCAGGCTGTTAACCTCACTACCAGCTGTTCCATGGGAGAAAGATGAGGCTTTCTGCTCCTGTAAAGATTTACAGCCTCGGAAACCCTATGCCGAGTCCCTATGAGTCAGAACCAACTCCATGGCAATTAACAACACAGAGTATAGTCAAGTCAGTATGAGACGAGCCAACTAACAACACTTACAACAACAAACGTGCATAACTAAGGGCATGTCTTTGCCCAGTGTAAACTACCAGACTTTTATATTGAAGTTTCATTTGGAACATAACTGTGAAGAAAATTAGTGAAATTATTTGAACAATTATATACACTTGTCCCACATTGAGAATTTTCATCATTATCAAATAAATCTTAGTTTATAATAGTGGGAACAGTGTGGTTTTAAAGGGGAAAAAAATAAAGTTGTATAGTACTATGCAGTATCCTCCCAGTATCCTAGAATAGCTAATCATTAATAATTAGGAAACAAACTTTATATGGTATTATGCAAGTAACCCAATAAGGTTCAAGTTTTTATTTTAGACTCTTAGATTCACATTTTTGTAACTTAATCAGACACTCAACCTTAAATTGTAGCCTCAGAGGTCATCTCTAACATCAAAGCATAATTAGAAAACGTCTGGGGAGAAATTGAGCCTAATTCTTCAGCCTGACTATCTGGGATTAGGTTCCTTTAACCCCATGTAAATTGGTCTATTATGGATTTTATGGTGGAGGAAAGAACTGTATTTAAAGTAAGCTTGGGCTGGACTATCCAAGATGCTGTCCCTGGAGGTACAGAAGCCACCACTGCATCCCATTCTTCTTCTGTCTGTGACCCTTTTAGGGCCACTCAGGGCCATTCCAAAGCATGAGTATCATGAAACAACAAATTTGAGAGAATGAGTCTTTACTAGAATTTGACCTCAGCCAATTTGAACAACAATTTAAGAAGTGTTCAAAGGAAGGATTATTGCCTTTGAGCCTTCAAGACAGTATAAATGGCTTGAATCATAAATTGTGTGATTTCATTACCTACATAGTATTTTAGGTATGTTATTTTTATGGATATTAAATTATCATAGATGAAAATATATATGTGATCTATATATAAACATTACCATAAAAGCATTACTATTCCTAAAAATTGAATGTCACTATATTTTCTTTCATTTTATTGTATATACAATCACATCTTTTTACATTGCGTTATATTATAAATAAACAACAAGGTTCATAAAGTGAGTTACAGGATCAAATTAGCAAATCCATAAAAGAACATTTGAGCCTAAATCCTATAATAACATTAAATATATAGCAGCTATTAATATAAAATAGCATTTTTACATGTGAAAGTAGTTATCTTTATATCATAACCTATAAGTATGTTCTATTATGCTTTCTACATTGTTGTGACATATTTATTGAGAATTAATATTGTGTATTTGGTATTCTTTCATTTTTAG